CATTTGATAACCAAAATAGCCTCATTCTCTGGACAGATCTTAGTTCAGCTGTTTCAAATGACATCATCACTGAAATCTTCTGTGTCACTCCTTGGCTCATGTTATCCACCCTTAACTGCCGTTAAGAAATTCTGGCTCAGTGGGAACGTGTTGCTGGTACTCATTTTAAGATACTGGCTTCAAAATGTATGCAGTAAGAAAGCAAACTGCAGGTCTGCTGACCGTGTGTTAACTTACTATGAACACTGTGGGACCAATTTTTCACTACCAGCTCTGCCTGTGAATAATAGCTGTATGCCACTAGGATTCCTGCTGAAATTAAAGAGCTTCCTGTAGAAGTTCGATATCGCAGAGAGCAGCAGGAGCTGATCCTTAAGAAGCTGATTTTCAACGACTCAGACAAAAGCTATACAACGAAATGATTTAATCCTTAACTGTAGCAGTTTCAGCAGTCAAATTAACCTGTAGCAGCATCCAGAACATTACGCTGTGTAACTTAGTCGAGCTACGGCTCTCTGCTAGCATTTTGTAAATCAGGCTGAAGCTTCCAGCCTTTCTTCTCACAGTAGCTCCTGATGTTGAAATCGTCTCACTGCTAGTAAACTAGCAGCTATACTGCTGTATAGTTTTTCTTTTTAAAGATCCAGAAATAAATGTACAGTAATACAAATTGTTTCCTGCACTTCCTGGATCCGGGAGGATCCTTACTCTTGTTTTATAAGTTGCTTAAAATCAAGGCTGTGTCAGTGAAAAAAATAGATGTTTAATGATACCAGGAAGCAATTTTATGTTTTGTCATTAGTCAATATGCAGCAGAACATAAACAGGCATACTATTCATAAAATTGCAATTAAACCAGAAGACATAAAAAAGGCTGGTTAAAGATTTGTAAAGCCAGACGTCACTGGTAAGATTTTAAGTAATATGAGAACAAGCCCTTTAAAATACATGTTAGTGCAAACTGAAAATATTTTTCAGTATGTTTAAACAACTCTGTTTTTTTCCATTTCAAGTCTTAGCATGGTTAAAAGCTCTACTTGTAACTCAGTTCTTGAAGGCATAGTGTATGAATAGAGTGGAAGAAGTATAAGGACTTGGGATTAATAACTTCTACTGCAGTTGGAGGCATTACTGAAGGTCTCTCCTGTTACTGACTGCGTGAGGGGGGCTTGAACAGAACTGCTCCTCGGCTTAACCTGTTTACGTTTTATCCTTGATGGCACTGGTCTGGTTGCTGTAGGATTGTTTGTAAAATTTATTTTTCAGAAATTAATTTTCTGTATGAAAGGCAAAAAGACAGATTTAGTACTCACTCTGTACAAAAACTGAAAGTCAATACAGAAGAAAATGCACTATTATTTATTATGGGTTTTGGAAGTTACTAGTTGTTTATACAGAATTGCACTGCGGTGGTTTAGGCAGAAATGTTCTTTTTGTAGAACTCAGTTTTTTAAGAATAATGATAATCAGTGAAATGCATTTCAGAGAGTTATCTCTCAGGCAAGGTGAGTTTTAGTAAATGACAATACTCAGCACTTATGTTTGAACAATAAAGACAGCAAAGTGTTATCATGACCATCAAAAGTAAATCCTCTATGGGGAACACAAAAATAGTCTTATCAAGTGCATTAGTTTCTGTACTGAACAGATTAGAAACACACACCAAGAATTCTAATTTTAAGGCGCTTTGACATGTTGATGCAAGCAGTGCATTAGGGAATGCTTAATCAAAAAAAACCAGAAAGACCTATACTGTGTGGAATATCACCACATACTTTTTTCTTTCATGTAGTGCAGTAATGTGAATATGAATGTTAACTCTTATTCAGTAGGGAGATCAGGTTCACAAGGTAACAGGCAGTGTCTCACACCATAAAGTCAAAATGCCCTATAATGTCCTGCTGCTACAGTCTTGCTGTTTCTCCTTTACCGTATGTAGAGTGCATGTTTCTGCAACAAATTACAGCAGTTTAATGGAACAGAACATTTTCCTGTGGCACAGCTGGGAGCTAAGAGCAGTTCTGTAACATACCCACCTTGGATTTTCTTACTAACTAGTTAAAACTGGTGAAGTCCACCAGTGCTGGAACTGAACATATTGTGTTTATTTTTCTGCATTTGTAGGCACCACTGAAATCCATCTTCTTGGTTAGAACATAAGGCTCAGGATGAAGTTGCTTAGTGCTTGTGACATAGACAGTTTATTGTTGTGTCAATTTTTTAATAACACTTTGTTACATTACATAGAGGAAAAAAATCAAGCTGGTTTTTAAGTTGATTCAGATCGACAATAGCCGCAGTTTCCCACTGTTTCCTAATGCCAGGTGAAGCATTTGCATATAGCTGTGGGTGTCGTTATTTTTGGACCATCCAAGGCACAGTGAAGTTTGGATGAAAGGTAGTGCTCCATCAGTGAACAATGCATCGTTCTGTGAGGGGGTGATAAGCAGTGGTACCACTTAGTGGCAGAATTTTTTCCCTGCTCCCATTTCATTATCTCAAGGAGAGAAATGCACTATATAGCTCTTTATGTTATGTGGGTATTCTCAGTATTGCCAGTGAGAAAAACTAAGAATGTAACATCTTGCATGTAACATCCTACATGGGCATTTTCCTTTTTTAATATGAGCCTTGGGGCTTGTTCTCACTGTAACGATAGCTTGACTAATCTACACTTGGGTAAAGCTCCTCTCAAGTTAGCCTAACTTGAATGAGAGAAGTTGTGCTTCAAAGTAGTGGTATTTGGATAAGCAGCAGAGAAGTTCAGTCTTGTCTCATTACCAGCTCTAGAGCTGACTGCATGTTTGTACACTGGCTTTAAGCCACACTTCACTTACAGGCCAACTAAAATCAAGAAACCAAATTTTTCTTTGGAAATCTCCCTTCCGTGTACTACTTCAGACTGTTTCTACTGGAAGAAATAGGCAGAGAAGGAAAAGATTGCAGTTGTCAGAGGAATTATTAGTGTTCATCCAGCTTGCCCAGTCTTAGGTTAAAAAATGAAAACTGAGTAAGAAGGAAAAAAGAAACATTAACTGTTCACAATTTTTGATGATATGTGTATGCCAAGTTCTGTCAAATAAAGAAGTAAATATTTGAGAAGCCATGTTGTGTTCTTGTCCACACAACAATAGTGGAAAAAGGGTGCAGGAGAATTCAGAAGATGAAAGAAAAAGGCTCTTGTTTCTTAGAAACTGGAGATAAATAAGGTTGCAGAGGCCTGCAACATCCAGGCGAAGCACAATAAGAGAGGAAAAACTAATGGATATGGAGAGAAGCTGTTGAAAATGAGAGGGAGAGGAATGTGAAAAGAAGTGAAGAAAGAAGAGAGGGAGACCTGCAGAGCTGCTAGTGGAAATAAAGATGCACAGGGATATCGCATAGAGTGGCATGCAGAGATATGGTGGGAAGATGAGAAGATGATGGCATTGGCAGAACAATGTTCAGGATGGTACTGCAGGCCCATGGTGCTCTGCACGCCCCCTGCATTTGTGCCTGGGATGGTTTTTCAGCTGGGGAAAACCGGCATTCGCTTACAGTCATAACAGCGTGGCAGAGATGTCAGGAGATGTGCTCAGCTGGATGTATTCATGGTCTTTTGCCTTGAGTTGTCAGGTGCATTTTTTATACCTGCACAGATAAATCATACCAGGGGTGCTGGGTGAGGCGGCTCTGTGAGCCTAGTAAGACTGCTGGTAAGCAGTGAAAACTGCTCTTTTTGCCTCTGCCCTCCCTTTTTGACCCTGAAAAGTAAGTAGAGATTTCTCCAGATGTACCAAGGACAGATCTCTCAAGTGAAGTGTACTGCTTTTACAGTCACTTTTCTCATTATGCTGGCAGTGTTTGCTTGAATTACTTGAAGATGAAAGCAGTAATTGCCAAAAGAAACCTAAAGAGAATAGTACTGAACCATTGTTTTTCAAATCACTAAATATTCCAGTAGGTGCATTTGTTTATTTGTTTGTTTTGTTAACTAAGACATTTAGAGTGCTTTTACTCATTCAGACATTTGGAACAGAAAACTGACAGTGTGTTTCCAAAAGAAAAAAGCTGTATTAATTCAGAAAAGGGGGGAGAGACACCTCGGTAAGAAATTCTTAGTGCACTGTCTCACATGAAAGCAACTAACAACATAATACTGTTGGAGCAGCAATGTACATCAAGTATAGATGTAAATATTTCTGTTGGTAAGTGGTTGGCCTTCCTACCTGTAAGGGCTGTGATATCATGTAATCTCAAATTCAGTAAAGTCAGCTTATGCAGTGATTATTGATACGAGACTTCCACAGAAACCTGGGTTTCTCAGTTTCCTTTTTAAGTTATCTAGTTACACTACTGAGATCAGTCTTGATTATCAGCTGGTGTTTCACTGCAGTAACATAAGCCAAAACAATACTACATTATTTCTTAAACATAGGTTTCTAGATATAAAATTCAGCACGTATACAAAAAACACACTGAAGAGCTCAGCTGTTTTGCCTGGTTCCTGCTTTTACTGGAAATAGTGGTAATAACCTCATCTGCTTCAGAGATGATGATATGGTGATGAAGGTGTTAGTGTAAAGTCACTATCAGCAGGGTAAGAGTTAAGTAAAAATCTGTTTAGCAGAAGTGTATGCAAGGACAGGACTGCTCTATGATGAAATTGCTTAGTTCAGTTGATACCGTTCTTAGTTCAACACTGACTTAAATATTGAAGATACTAATAAAAGGAACTAGTGTTTAGACATATTCGGGATAGTTATCTAGGAACTCAGTGTATTGCTTGTTAGGTTTCATACACATATTAAAAAACTGTGTTTGCACAACTCAAGATTTTTTGCACGTCTGCCTGAATTTCAGCTCTCGTTAGAACCTGTGATCAGCTTGCAGTGTACTTTGGTCTGTGTATTGTAGTTCTGGGACTCTGCTGATACTGTTGTTAGCTGGTGTATAAACTTATCTATAGTTATTTATTAATCTTCTCATTATAATGATTATGGTATTGTGATCTTTTTCAGTGTACCTTGAGGACAGCTTTGTGAAATCCGGAGTGTTCAACGTCTCAGAACTTGTGAGGGTGTCCAGAAGTAAGTTGTTGTTTGCATTTAATCATTCCCAAAGCCTGCTCTAATCAAGTGAAGGTTTTTCTCCCCAAGATGAAAGATGCATAGGAAATGCCTATAACCACACAAAATTGTGATATCTTTGACCACAGTATTACAATTCATCTTGCATGTGTTTATAATAAAACAAACAGAAGTCTTCTTTTGTGTCTTTGATATTTAAAGATTGAATCAATTTGTTATGTGTCCCTCTGCACAGCTTAATGAACTGATATGTCAATAAAATTATGTAACAAAACCTTCTATTTGTTACACTTGCAGCTTTTTAAGGTTGTCCTACACATCTTTGCATTTTGCTAAACCATCTGATAATTTTTATAGTTTTTGAATTTGTATCTCTTAAAAGCCGAATCACAGCATGGATATAAAGGCTGACTAGCTAAAAGTATTATACACTTGTGTTTCTTTTACTTGCAGCACTGGGTGTAGTTGAATTTCTACTTACATTGGCTTATTTTGGCATCAGAAATGTTATGCACACAAATACGCAAAAAAAAAAGTAAGATAAAATATAAATACAAAAGGATAGGTGAAGATTTTATTGCAGAAAGAAAAACCAAAATTAATATAAATAAAAATCTATAAGAAGATCTGTTAAATCAAGAATTTGCTATAACATTGTGGCATAAAATCAGTGCATATTTTCATTTGACATTGCTTTCTGAACACTTCTTTTCTCCCTTTAGTATCAACAGTATTAAAATATTTCTCTTAAGGCTGCATTAGGAAGTGAACAAAAATACTTGAAAGTTGTAGTTAGAAGTGTTCGCACTGATGATACCAACATTATAACAACAGAATTGTCCACGAAAATATCTTTTCTGATGAGATGAGGACAAAACTGGTGAGGCACAAATTTCCAAAACTCTCTGTCCAAACTTTGCACAGGAGTTAATTTGTGCCAGGTCAGGGTGCTTGAGGAATTTAATCAACTTAGTGAGGCTTATGATGCATGTGTCATTTCATTTGCTCTGGTCAGAAATTAATATTCAACAATTAAGATTATATTAAGTCCTTCAGCAAAATAATAAGCATTGCTGTCCTGCAGTGTTAAGATACACTCTTTTTTGTGCTTGCTGAATGTATGGTTTTGCTGTTTTAGGAGACTGAGGATGTGTGAAATATAGCTTTCTTTTAGTTGTCAGGTGGTTAAATACATTTTAAAGTATCAGGCCATTCAGGTTAAAAAAAAATCAATATTGTAGGTACGTTATGAAATCGTACCTTCTGCAGCTGTTGTACATGATATACTTCTAATAATAAGCTTTAAAGCATGTGGTTTCTGCGGGATTTCTTACCATGCATTTGTTTAACCTCAAGCCGCAACAGAGTTGTACTTTAACTGTCAGAAAAAATACAAACATTCAGATACATTACACAACATGCAATTACTCCTTTAAGTGCCAAAGGCAGTTAAAATGCACAATGCACTGACAGTGAACAAAGGTAAATACACCACAATATGTAACATATAATTTATTCTGGAAATACCAAGAGGTATGGTACACAGCCTCTGTAAGGAGGTGAAGATAATACTGAGTGTGTGTGTTTGTGTGTCGGTGTGCTTACGCAAAGCAGTACCTGTGGCACTGTGTGAAAGAAACGAAGCAGCAGAACATGCTGCCAGCAGAGAAGGCTATTATTAATACAAAAGAGTTAACATTAAGGGAAAAAGAGTTTGTGTGTCCCCAGGTTTGTTCTCTGCAGTTATTTCAGTTATTTAATAAATAATGTTAGCTGTTCTTACAAACCCTACCTAATTCATTGTAAAGATCCTTCTACAGAAGGCTTGACTTTGTGCCGAAGTTTGTGTTACCTTTTTCATACTGATGATTCCAGGTTATCTGCTATGCAACAAATACATTATCTCTGCATAACTGCTAAGGGTTTTCTAGGGACTGGGGAAGATAGTTCATTTTTTGCATATGTAAACATTGCTAGAACTTGTCTGTCCATGGTTTCTGCAAGAGGCAGAATATTAGATACATGTAGTAACATCTTGATGTTTTTCCCGGTTTAAAAATTATAAGATGGCTAAAAAGATAGATGATTATCTTTGACTCGTTGTGATGTGTTTTTCAGCTCCCATTACCCAGGGAACTGGAGTGAACTTCCCAATTGGAGAGCTTCCGAGCCAGCCATACTACCATGACATGAATTCGGGTGTAAATCTACAGAGGTCCTTATCCTCTCCACCAAGCAGGTAAAAACTTGATATAAGTGCTAAAGTGAAACCAGGTTTGATAGTGTGGAACAAGCAATTTGCAAATACTGTCAACAGCCAACTATTTTATGAATTTCCTCTGATTTTGTGAGGTAGGCTACTTATGTATGTTACTGTAATCTATGTACAGATGTATGTGTTACAAATCTTTTTTTGCCCAGAAGCATATAAATATTTAGCTCTCAGAGGTCACATCTCAGTGAAAACTGCTCAGAGAGACTGTCAAAAAAACATGAAGTGACATTTCAGACGGTTCCACCCATATAGCTGAGCCCTCAACCTCAGAGAGTAATTGAATATTTCACTAGAAATCTTGCTCCAAGACACCTTTTTTCCTCTCCTCACTCTAAAAACAATGTCTGGCCAATGTTTTGAAAGGCTGTTGAAGCAGCCGAGGCCTCATCTGGGTTTATGAGCTATTTGCGCACAGAGAACAGGTGGCTTCATCCCATATTAAAAAGTGGAAGTGGGGTTGTCATTGGACTTTTAGTTTCTTTGTTTTAATGTATGTATAGAAGCTACTTATTATCTAAGAAGGTTTTATTTGCAGAAAAACCTTAGTGTGAATAACAAAGAATTTTCAGGAACTTTAAAAAAGTTATATTGAAAGAATAAATCAAAAGAATTAAAGAAAACCTCTGTAGCCAACACTAGCTACAGAACACCAAGTTTCCCTCTATTCTGTTAAAAAATAAGCTCTGAATGTTGGCCAAATGATGAAAAAAAACACAAGTGAATTTTTATTACAATTTAATACTGGTTTAATTAGTGCATGGTCCACCACAGTGGTGCCCAGACTGTGGGAGCAGTTGTTTCTGGTCCTGTGGCCATGCCACCAGCTTGTAGGATGCACGTGATGAGCATCCCCACCACTCAACAGGGTCCAGTTCTCCACAGCACCAGGCAGCAGCCGAGGGCAGGATGCGGGCCCGCTGCAGGGCTGCTGCAGGGCTGGAAGCCACAGACTTGTCTCGGGTTCAGCATCCCACTGCAGGGCAGGCAGGACAGAAGCCCCAGGGAGGGAGCTGCAGCCCAACAGCACACAGAGCACACGCATGGCACCCAGCTGCCCATTAGAGGATTGCAGCACAAATTAAAATTTAAAAAAAAAAAAAAAAAAGG